TCAGGTACAGCGTGAAAAATTGTTCAATACCCTGCGGAACATTAATGAAATAGAATGCCCGCATATTGAGAGGCATCCATTTTTCATAGAATAGGCAGAGTTTTTTCACCATAGCCGGGGTGTACTGCAGGATGTGTTGCATCGTAACTTCGGACATATCCAAAATATAGGTTATACCACAAATGCATGCATAGGGATCCTGCATGATCATCACTTCATGCATTGCAGTACAGACGGGAGCCATGTCCACCATGCGCCATTCCATGGGGTTGTAGGTGTAACGATAGAAGACTATGCGGGACCCATCCTCTACCAGAGGTGTGGGTAATACAACGGTCACTCTTTCAACAGAACCAAAAATTTCAGAATCATAAAATATTGAAAAAGAAGCTCCATCTTACCCCAAATTGTGTACCTTCCGAAATTTCGGACTATCAACATCGGTCTCAAAAAATTCCGGATATCTGGTGCGGAATGCATAGAAGTAATCCAATTTCTTTTCAGCTTCCTGCAGATCATATTTACTAGCCCTTAGAAATTGTATCAGAAATTGATCATCGTTCCGAACTTTAAGATATATTTGTTCCTGAATCCAATTTTTGAAATTTTGTAAAGCCGTTTGAATTTCCAAAGGTTTCTCATTCAGCTCTTCACATGCGATTTTTTGCAATTCAGGGCACAGATGTTTAACGTTCGCCATGCTTGCACAACTTTGCACAACTGATGTTATGTTTTGATAATTTCGAAAACAGCCGGAATCAATAACGAAGAAGAATTTCAGAAAACGAAATAAAAATTGATAAACCAAGAATCGCGCATTCTGACCGGCACCACCCCAAAACCAGATTCAGAACAGTGGGATAAATTGTATTTTATTCTACATACTTGAATGAATTCAGAACAAAAGAGTTCGATCGATCTCGAGTTAAATTTTTTTCTATAGGGAAAAAAGTAGTCGAACCCTGAGGTTCGATTTTTTTTTTCTATAGGAAAAAAGTAGTCCAACCCTGAGGTTCGAATTTTTTTCTATAGGAAAAAAGTAGACCAACCCTGAGGTTCGAATTTTTTTCTATAGAAAAAAGTAATCGAACCCTGAGGTTCGAATTTTTTTCTATAGAAAAAAGTAATCGAACCCTGAGGTTCGAATTTTTTTTCTATAGAAAAAAGTAATCGAACCCTGAGGTTCGAATTTTTTTCTATAGAATAAAGTAATCGAACCCTGAGATTCGAATTTTTTTCTATAGAAAAAAGTAATCGAACCCTGAGGTTCGAATTTTTTTCTATAGAAAAAAGTAATCGAAACCTGAGGTTCGAATTTTTTTCTATAGAAAAAAGTAATCGAACCCGGAGGTTCGAATTTTTTTCTATAGAAAAAAGTAGTCGAACCCTGAGGTTCGAATTTTTTTCTATAGAAAAAAGTAGTCGAACCCTGAGGTTCGAATTTTTTTCTATAGAAAAAAAGTAGTCGAACCCTGAGGTTCAAATTTTTCTCTATAGAAAAAAGTAGTCGAACCCTGAGGTTCAAATTTTTTTCTATAGAAAAAAGTAATCGAACAATGAGGTTCGAATTTTTTTCTATAGAAAAAAGTGAGGTTCGAATCTTTTCTATAGAAAACAAGTAGTCGAACCCTGAGGTTCGTATTAAAAAGGACTTCGACCTAACGTCGATTTTTTTCTTTAAAAAAGTTGTCGGACATGAGGTCCGATATTTTGACCTCATGTCCGAGGTGGAATTCTTTCATATAGAAAAGAGTGTCTCGGGTCTGAGATCTTCTATGAGCGTAGTTTTTAATTTGATTTAATTTATTTATTTAAAATATTCATCTAAGCTTTCAATTGGAACTGGTTCTCCTCCTTTTAGAAGATTACCATTTATTCCATATTTTTTATTATCCTGAAAATATCCTCGTAGATTATCCCAAACTGAATGAAAATCTTTCACCAAATCTTTTAGGCAACCATTTTCTCCGCCATATTCTTCGGGTAAATATTTGAGGGGTATTTTCTCTGTTACGGTTCCGCAATTTTGACCACAAACAAAAACCTTAAAAAAACACCACACATCAGAACCAAATTTATATCTCATCCATCACTAGACCTACCCTTTCCCTTAGCTCTTCCGATAACGAAGGTAAATACAGTTCAAAGAAATGTTCGGCAAATTCGGGAACATTCATAAAATAGAAACCCTTCGTGCTGAAGGGTAAAACTTTGTCATAGAAAATAGACAGCTTCTTAAGGACCTCTTGAATATATTGGAATATATGTTGCGGGGTAATTTCGGCCATATCGAAGAGATACACCACACCATAAATGCAGGCATGGGGATCCGTAACAATCAAGGTCTCCAATGTGGCCAGGCAAACTTCTATCAATTCCTCCATAGCATATTTCTGTGGGTTATACAAATATCTATAGACCACAATTCGAGGACCAGATTCCCTCAGAGGTCTGGGTAAAATGCAGATGCAGCTGAAGAGAGGAAAACACTTTTATTTAGGACTTATTTCAGCCTGGAACCTTTATCTTACCCTATGTCATGCCTTTCACGAAATTTCTCCGTACCAAAATAGTCCGGACACAGGGTCTTAAATGTGTAAAAGTTGAGAAGTTTCCTCTTGACTTTCTCTAAATCGAAGTTGCAACTTCTAAGAAATTGCAACAGGAACTCACGATCCATACGACAACGAAATTGAGTCTGCTGGGTTAACCAGGAAATTAACTCCTTCAAATAATCGGGTAATTTTGTGGAGATATCTCCAACTTCTTCTATGGCGATTTTTTGCAAATGCGAATCTGAAATGAGTTTCGACATTGTTCCCTGAGTGGTTAAACTGAATATGAAAGTTATTCCCCGGTTTGAATTTAATCTACGTCTCGGTAGACATATAGGTAAATTATGCGAACACTCAATACTCGGTTTGGGAGGTAATTAAAAACGAGTCTGGGAATGTTTTTGTTTTCAATTCCGATTTATCAAATTTATTAGAGTTAGAGATAGGTACAAATTTGGAGACAAATTAATGGCCCCAGGGACGGGGAGTCCTCAGCGAACTGAGGAATTTTTCCTATAGGAAAAAGAGTCCTCAGCGAACTGATGAATTTTTCCTATAGGAAAAAGAGTCCTCAGTGAACTGAGGATTTTTTCCTATAGGCAAAAGAGTCCTCAGCAGTACTGAGGAATTTTTTCCTATATAGGAAAAAGAGTCCTCAGCTGTACTGAGGAATTTTTTCCTATATAGGAAAAAGAGTCCTCTGCTGTACTGAGGAATTTTTTCCTATATAGGAAAAAGAGTCCTCAGTGAACTGAGGAATTTTTTCCTATAGAAAATAGAGTCCTCAGCGAACTGAGGAATTTTTTCCTTAGTAAACTGAGGAATTATTTCTTAAAGGAAAAAATATTTTTCTTCTATAGAAAAAATCCAGATTTTTTTGCTTTCATTTTGGACAGCAACCCGTTTTTTTCTTTTGCCCTGTCCTAACTGTCTGTGGGATGATGACCGGAGATAATCTGCTATGGCCCAAAAACATTTTGGTTAATAATTCAATAAAAACTGTAAAACAAGCAGAAGACGAATAAGACAAACGACATTAACAACACATTCCGAACTGCAGTTCCCAATTCGAAGTTGATGTGACTTATGTTTCGGTTCCTCAACATTAAAATTTTCTACGAAATTTTATTTTTTTTCTTCCTTTTCTTTAAATTAAAAAGAATTGTTGACTCGAACAAAACAATTTAATAAGCCGATGTAAGGGGAAGGGGGAGAAGGGCAGACAGATCAGAAGAGTGTGATCATCATCATCATCAACAACGTCATTCCGATAAAGTGTGTAACGAATTTATTGGCTTTAATTGTTATGATCGTCCATCACTGACCTGGGTCGGTGGAGGGAGAAGAGGTGGGGGGAGATGGAGGGAGGAAAACATCTTTAAAGGTTTTGTTGGACATGTTGAATAGTGTTGTTGATATGAATTCATTTTGTTATGTTATGGACCATATTGAATGCTTTATTACATATCAAGACAGTCATGATTAAAATAATAGCACTGTTTTTTGAAAAAAGGGTCTTAGCGACCCTTCTCTACAGAAAAAAATTATATTTAAGGGACCATTCATGGCGTGGATTTTTTAAACATTATTTTGAAGGGTCCTATCAAAGGCGTAGATTTTTTAAAATTATTTTGAAGGGTCCTATCAAAGGCGTGGATTTTTTAAAAATTATTTAAAGGGTCTGGCACAAGGCCTGGTTTTTTTAAAACAATTTTTTAAGAGGTTTTTAAAAATTATTTTTAAAGGTCCTATCAAAGGCGTGGATTTTTTAAAAAATAATTTTAAGGGTCCTATCATAGGCGTGGATTTTTTAAAAATTATTTTTAAGGGTCCTATCAAAGACGTGGATTTTTATTAAAAATTATTTTTAAGGGTCCTATCAAAGACGTGGATTTTTATTAAAAATTATTTTTAAGGGTCCTATCATAGGCGTGGATTTTCTAAAAATTATTTTTAAGGGTCCTATCAAAGGCGTGGATTTTTTAAAAAATAATTTTAAGGGTCCTATCATAGGCGTGGATTTTTTAAAAATTATTTTTAAGGGTCCTATCAAAGGGGTGGATTTTTTTTTAAATTATTTTTCAGGGTCCTATCAAAGAGCGTGGATTTTTTTAAATTATTTTGAAGGGTCCTATCAAAGGCGTGGATATTTTAAAAATTATTTTTCAGGGTCCTATCAAGGGCGTGGATTTTTTAAAAATTATTTTTTAAGGCCCTATCAAAGGCGTGGATTTTTTAAAAATTATTTTTAAGAGTCCTATCAAAGGCGTGGATTTTTTAAAAATTATTTTTAAGAGTCCTATCAAAGGCGTGGATTTTTTAAAAATTATTTTTAAGGGTCCTATCAAAGACATGGATTTTTATTAAAAATTATTTTTAAGGGTCCTATCAAAGACGTGGATTTTTATTAAAAATTATTTTTAAGGGTCCTATCATAGGCGTGGATTTTCTAAAAATTATTTTTAAGGGTCATATCAAAGGCGTGGATTTTTTAAAAAATTATTATTCAGGGTCATATCAAAGGCGTGGATTTTTTAAAAATTATTATTCAGGGTCATATCAAAGGCGTGGATTTTTTAAAAATTATTTTTAAGGGTCCTATCAAATGCCCTTTAATATTCTTCTTCTTGAAGTGTAGAAAACGGAATTACTTCGTTAATAGAATTTTTAATTAATGTAATTTATGTACTCCTCCTTTTGTCTTTTGGGATTTAATGAAATTGTTGAAAACATACCTGTTGAGAATACACTCTGTAGTCAAACCAAATATTTGCACCTAGTAGGCTTTGGTATTCATATTGTATTGTTTGTTTGTATCATACTATGTTTCTGTACCTTTTGTAATAAACGTTTGAACTGAACACAACATACGTGTCCGCTATATTTAATTTCTAACATTGGTTATGGGCCCAGGATAATTTCTTGCTGAGGACAAAGGCCAAGGATTATATTGTGAAGGATATTACAACAAGGCGATTTTTGTAGCGGTTTAACAAAAGGAAGATTTTGCTGATATTCGATACGATTTTTGTGAATTTGGAGTTGTGTTCCCAATAAAGCTTTTAAAGGGAAAAAGGAATTTTCAAGATGGCGACTCCGTTCTTACAAATAGAAAAATTGGATGAAGGGAATTATGATTCCTGGC